AGACACCCATGCCTTCCATCCGGGATTCTTTTTTAATCTCAGTCTAATTGGTTCACCCACCCTGCTGGGATGCTTAATTGGGCATAAGCATATTCCGAAGACACCATGCCATTGTGAGTTCTGCCTTCTCCTCCAAGGGGAATTTGCTTGCTCTGCGCACTCAGAAGGAAAGATATATTTTATGTTGTGCTCAGTTTACTGAGAACTTACATGAAATTGTTCCTGGGCCAGCAGAGCAGTTAGACAACATGGCAAGCAAAGCTTACTTGCTTTCTTTCATTTTCTTTCCTCTTTTATTTCAGAATATTATGGATGTACAAACATTTTGGTTACATAATTTGCTTTTGTATGGTTTAAGTAAAAGTTTTAAATGTGCCCATCACCCAGATTTTTGTGCATTGTATCCATTAGGTGTTAATTTACCCATCCCCACATCCCCCTCCCATGGCATGTTGCAGTGGAAAGAGTACAGCGCTTCGAGTCATCCTAGGTTCTGATTTGAGCCCTGCCAGTCATTTGCTGTGTGATCTTGGACAAATAACTTAACCTTTTTGACATTCAGTTTTCCCATCTGTGAATTGAGTGAGTTGGATTTGATGGTTTCTATGAATGGAGTCAGGGTGAAGTTTTTGGAACAGGAGTCATACTACCCTTGCTTTTGCTTTTGGGAATAAAGTTTTATTGAAACACAGCCACACTTACTTGTATTTTATATTGCTGTTTCACACTATGAGGACAGATTTGAATGGTTGCAACAGATACCTTATGTCTGAAAAGCCTAAAATATTTACTACCTGGACCTTTATGAAAAATGTTTGCCTACTCTGCTTTTAGAACATAAATCAGATTGTTTTAGCCCAAAATATTCATTTACCTTTTCATGGCACTTAGAATTTAAAAATCAAATAAGTATTTTCCATGGCTGACAAAGCCTTTGGAGATCTAAGCCCTCCCTACACCATCTTTTATGTTATTTTTTCCTATCATACTACTTTTTATCTTACCCCATCTTCTCATCTACTCATCTCAGTTTGCCTCTTTGGTGATCCCCAAATGTGGCAAACACATGCCTACCTCAGGACCTTGGTATCCACTGTTCCTTTTTCTTAGAACGTTCTTCCACCAGGTGGGCCCAGGGTGCCCTCATTTCCTTCAAGTCTATCCTCAAATACCATGAAATCAGCAAGGCCTTTTCTGACACCTATATCAAACCACAGCCTCCCCCACTTCTGGACGCCCCCACCTCCTTCCCCTGCTTTATTTGTCTTTATAAGGCCTATCTCCCCAGACACCACACACATGTCTTTGTGTGTTTTCTGTTCACTCTCATAAGCATGTAAGCTCCTTGAGAGCAAGATTTTTATCCATTTTGTTTACCACTGCATCCTCAGAGCTGGGAAAATAATGGGTGCTCAAACTTCAAATGTATGATCTAACCTTTTCAGCACCAATGCTGTTTAAATCTGCCTCAGAATAGACCTAGGTGCTGTGGAGCCCTTGTACCTAAGTATATTTTGGTACAAAGCGTGGAAATCATAGAATCCTGTGATTATCACAATCTTTGCTCCAACGTGCTGTAATTGTTAAAGAATATAAACCCACCATATAAACCCACCCTCAGAGTGTTTTTAGTCTGGATTGTTGACCAACAAGAAAAGAGTTTATAGATTGAAATCTAATAACATAGTTTGACATGTAGTCCTTCATCCTGTGGTCCCTGATAACGTCCCAGCCTCTACCTCTTATTTATATATTACACATGTGTACACACACACACACACACACACACACACATGTCCCTCGCTTTCCCACTGTCTTATTCTCTTTCATTCCCCTCCAGTTCTGCACATAGAGCTCATTCTTCCTGAAACTTCTTTCCCCTCTTTGGCCAAATTCTATGTTTCCTTTAAGATTCAACTCATACAGGAGAATTCTCTGACACCACCACTTCCACCCAGTTCATTTTTCAGACTGTGTCTGGGACCCTCCTCTGTAATCCCTCTATGTCTAAAAATGCCTTTGCAAATGGCACAGCATAGTTTAATAACGTTCCTAAACAACTCTTTGTTCTAACAACCCCCCACCCCCAATGGAGTAATTTCCTGGGATGAGGAGCTCTGTCCGTGGTGCTGAGCAGGCAGCAGCTGATGTAGAGTTGTGCTTTATAGTAACATCCTGTTATGGAGCTCTTCCTAAGGGCTCTGTATATTTTGGTAAACGACACATGCATTCCTTCACTTAGGGCTTACATCCACCCTGGGAGGGAGGAACTGGGTGCCTGGTGTTGGCTTCTTTCCTCGTTATTTCAAGGAAGGAGCACAGATGGCAGGCCCTGGGTCTATAGCTGGTGAACTTCACAAAGACTGTGAAGGTTGTTAAAAAAAAAAAAAAAAAAAATTGAATCATGCCTTGTAATTTGGTAGTGGGGAAGGCATTATTCTTCTGCGTTGGTAGTAGTTCTACTATTTTTTTTTTATATTCTAACTCTCAATATTTACACTAGTGGAGTGATTTAAGTGTCAGAATACCAGTTTTCTATGCTCATCTCTACTATTAACTAGCTGGGTGACCTTTAACAGGTTACTTAACCTCTCTGAGTGCAAATATTACTTTTGAGGAATACAAGCATGTTTGTGTGAAAAGAAAGCAACCCGAGAGAGTAAGTTATAAATAAAAGTGATGTATATATATATATATATATACATCATACACACACACACACATTGTGTAATTATGTGTATTTATCTATATACTGATATATGTGTATATTTATATGCATGTACTTAACTTCCTAATTATATGTATATATAACTTTGTAGATTTCAGGGAGGAGGAGATACACTTTATATCAGACATATTTGTTTGGTTTTCATTGCTTTGTGTTGATCATCAATTGCTGAGTAACAAATTACCTCAAAACTTAGCGACTTAAAACAATAAATATCATCTCACAGTTTCTGTGAGTCAGGAATCTGGGCTTCCTCTCCGTGGGTTTCTCGCCAGGCTGCAGTCATCTCAAGGCTCGTTGGGAAGGGTCTGTTTCCTAGTAACCTAGTTCACACCCACAGTGGCTGTTAGGATGCTGCGCTTCTTGAGGCCTCTGTTGGCTGCAGGCTTCCCTCGGCTCCTTGCCGGATGAATGTCTGCATGGAGCATCTCACGGCATGGCAGCGGGAGAGAGGGAAAGGGAGAGGGAGAGGGGAAGCAAGACACCCACAGAGACAGAGAGAGCATGCAAGAGGGCCAGTGAGAGAGACACAGAGAGAGAGAGAGAGAGACAGAGAGGGAGTGAGAGAGGCCCAAGGTCACTGGGACTCATGCCACAACTGTCTGCCACACCTGTAACATTCTTCTCAGCTGGTTGTCAAGTCCCCTCCCACTCCCCAGATCCGGTCAGCCCACTTGCTCCATCTTGTTACCTCCTACACCCTCTTCTTCACACTCCTCCTCTTCTGATCTGCTCTTCCCATGACATATTCTGTATCCACCCCTCCCCCACTCCTGCCCTTTCCTCTGTGTGGTTAGTTGTTTTGTTCTCTCTCTCTCTCTCTCTCTCTCTCTCTCTCTCTCTCTCTCTCTTTTTGAAACCACACTTCTGTGTATTTAAAGCCCATGCAGACTTCAAAACTCTAGTTCAAACGTGACCTCCTCTCTGAAGCTTTCCCTCCAGGCCTGAGAAGTCCTCCTCCCTCTGCGTACTGTAGTCCTTGATTTACGATGAACTGGAAATGTTTTCCTTCCCTGCTGGACTGTGAGCTTCTTAAGAGCAGGGCCTGTGATATGTCCATCCCCTTCTGCCGGCATCATATGTTGCACATAGTAGGTGCCTTACAGGGCTCATTGAGTGCAGTCAATTGACTGAAATGCCTAAGATGTGCACAGTACTGAGTTGACTTACAACACGAACTATGTTATGAATTATGGGCGGAGATTTCTTAAGCAGACACAGACCATAAACTCTGAGGCTTCAAAATGTATTCTAATGATGAAGCTTTTTTTCAGATCCAGTGTTCTGTGAGTCAGGGGTCAGACTCCACCACTGAATTACCAGGGCCTACTCCGGCCTGATCCCCTCCCTGGCCTGCTTCTTCTACCCTGTGCCCCTTTCTTCATTTGTCTCTTCCATCTTGTGGCAGGAAAGAGAGACCTTTTCGTTAAACTCTGCTTCCCATCATTTATCTAGGCTGATCTTACAGCCCTCTCGCCTGGTCTGTTTTTCTCAAGGGATTGAGAGTGTGAAACTCAGGCAGGTCGGAGAACTGGTCATTCTGTGGGAGCTGCATCGTTGGTAGGAATGATGGCCATTATTTAGCAAAAACAACCTGCACCACATCCCTTTAAATGCCCACTTGCACCCAGTTTGCACGGTGACTATGAAGCTTTAATGATTTACTTGTACATGCCTTGGAATTCATGAGGAAATAAAGTTATAAAACAGTATTTCACATTAAATTAGCACCTTGAAGTTTCCAGGGATATTTTTAGCCTGTATGTTTCCTGTAATACCTGCACCAGCACTAGGAAATAGATAACACTAATTGAATTTTATAGATGGAGAAATGTAGGCCCAGTAAGGGAACATGCTTTGCCTCAGACTGCACCACATAATTTGCAAGAGACAGAGCAAGACTTGGACTTCCACGTTCCGTGTTCTTTAATCTTGATCTACTCTGTTATTAGTAAAGGAAAAACATGGTTATTCTCCCATATGGTCTTTAGAATGTAGCTCTAATTTCTTCCAAATAGTAGGTGGTCAATGAATGCACGTTAATACTTTGGATCAAAGTGAGCTCAGGGCCTAATATTTGATTTTTGAATTGTCTTATGACAGGTCTCAGGTTGCTTTGTGCCTTAGGTCGTATCCATTGTTATATAGCCTGCCCGCCTGCCTGCCTCCCTTCTTTCCTTCGGTGGAAAAGAAGTAAAGGGGTGGCTGAGGGGACTTTCAATTGATGGCAATGGTCCTAAGTTGAGCACTGTCACTTGTCTCTCGTGCCCAGGGAGTTTGCCCGTTGGAAGGTGAGGAACACAGCCATCGAGAGGAGAGATCTGGTCCGTCATCCAATGCCCCTCATGCCAGAGTTTCAAAGGAGCATCCGCCTGCTCGGCAGGAGACCCACCACTCAGCAGTTCATCGACACCATCATCAAGAAGTACGGCACCCACCTGCTCATCTCAGCCACCTTGGGAGGTAGGTCAGCAGCCGCTGGGCCACAGCCCTGTCACACCTTTGGGCCTGGGGTGGGAGGGAGAGTGGGATGTCCTGAGAGCAAAGCCGTCTTAGCCTCTCTGCCATCCTACATCCTGCAAAAGCATATGTTGCCCCATGAGCCAAATTGTCTTGGCCTCCATGGGCAGATCTGTGCTGATGATTCAGTTCTATGGGACAGTCTACTTGGAGAGTTGGCCAGTGTTGGTGGAAATATGGCTTACCCTTGGAGTTGGCTTAGTTCGTTAGAAATGCTTAAACTGATAATTGTCCTAGTTCCTCTGGAATGTGGTCTGATCTGGGAAAATAATGAAATTTAAGATATTGTTTAGGGAATCTTATTTGTTTGTTTAAGTCTACTTTAGGGGCTGATCACTTCAGGTTATCATTTTATACATGGGCTATGGTTTGTATCTCATACATACGCACATTGAGTGGGTTAGTAGGAAAGCAGACTAATTGCTCCACCCTGCTCATCATTGCCCATCTTTTCCTATCACGTGCAGTCAGTTTTTGAGAGAGTGAGGATAAGAGGGCTAGATAAAGGGCAGGAATAAATGCAAAGACAATGAATGGACAGTGGTACAGAGTAGAGCATCAGGTTCTTACGGGTCTTGTCTGCATGCATCATATGATATTATGAGGAATCCCTTAGGCATCCATTTTCTGCCATAGTGACTGGGGCTACTGAACTTTTAGAAAGCCCTTTTGGTGGTAGAGCACCATGCCCACTTGCTTGTAGAGCTGCTAGGTGCTTTAGATATGGCCCATGCCAGCAAAAAGAGATTGGTGTCTCGTCAGAGGCAGGGCGGACTGAGGTATGATTATAACAGGGAATCTTCTCCTTCTGAGGAGTGTTGAGCACCACAAACTGGAGTGGTCAGTACAGAGACTTCATGAAAGAAGTGACAGTTTAGCTTGACAGGAGCTGGTTAGGTCAGGGAAGGTGGTGGGGCTTTCTAGGCTGAGCATACAGTGTACAATTTAAGGAAGACAAGATTAGTAATTTGATAATGGAAATATGGATGGGGAGATTGGTTGGGCAAATTCACTCACTCTCACAATAATATGAGCCACTACATTGTCTTTAGTCCTCAAAAGCACAAGTTAAGCCATATTACCTTCACTTTATAGATGAAGAAGCTGAGACCCAGAAGAGGTATAGCTAGTACGTTATAAAGCTAGGTTTTTAACTTAATGTTTTCCGTCTACACAGCCTGCATTATATCTTTGATCCAACATCAGTCCCTTTTACCAACCCACCCACCCACTCCAAAGCCAACCAACCAGCACATATGTGTGGTCTGCTGGTAGTCAGATATTAAGTAGGACTTTGGATGTTAAATCACTAGCATAAATTCTATTCTATTATAAAATGAAAATGAATTCCTTTCTACATTGAATGTGGCATTAACCTGTATGCTTTCCTTTGAATACCTCCCACCTCCCAATTCACTTGGGAAAAAAAAGTTCTTGAGACCAATTCAATCCTTCTATTAAAAGCTGTGCTCTGGTCTGAGTCCCTGGAAATTCCAAGTAACAAAGACCTTTCTTCCTCAATGAAATATATTTTTAATTTCTCCAAGGCGAGGTGGTGAATTATTCACAGACCCTTGTTCCTCTCCTGTTTTTACAACACAACATTTTAAAATATGCAAAGCTTTGGATTGAGATCCAGTGTTGGACAGCAGGCCCTAACTGCTCCCCCAGCCCTTAATGTGGAGGAGCAGAGAGAGGGAAGGGAAAGAGATTTATTGTTGATTGAACACTCTGTGCCAGAAACTGCATGAAGTCTTGTCTTTTCTTTTCTTTCTTTTTTTTTTTTTTTTTTTTTGAGATAGGGTCTCACTCTGTCACCTAAGCTAGAATGCAGTGGCACTGTCATAGCTCACTGCAACCTTTAACTCCTGGGCTCAACAGATCCTCCTGCCTCAACCTCCTGAGTAGCTGGGATTACCATAGTGCACCACCATGTCCAATGATTTTTAAAATTTTTTGTAGAGCCAGGGTCTTGCTATTGCTCAGGCTGGTCTCAAACTCCTGGCCTCAAGAAATACTCCCTCCTCAGCCTTCCAAAGTGCTGGGATTACAAGCATGAGCCACTGCACTCTGCCTGAGGTCCTTCTCACATTGTCATTTCATTCATTCATATATGAAAAAAAACATTGCTTAATGACCTCCTCTACAATGTGGGAGAAAGGAGGTGGGCAGTTTTAGAGAATGAAAGGGCAGGCTCTGGAGTTTGATCACCTGCCTTCCAGTCCTGCCTGCTACTCTTCACCAGCTTAGTGTCACCTTTCTAGTATCTTAATCCTCTAAGCCTCAGTTTCCTCTTTTATAAGTAGTCACAATAGTAGTACTTCCTTCATGCATATTTTGAGGATTAAATAAAGCAATAGGTTCAAAGTGCTTATCACACCGTCTGGCACCTAGCAAATTGTTGCTGTTGCTATTGTTATTTCTATTGTTGTTATCATTATTTAATAAAGGTAAGGAACTTAGGGACCCAGAATTAAAGCCCAACCCTGTTGCTCACCAGATAAGTGGGAGACATTGAGAAATTAACTTTTCCTGTCTGGATATCAGTTTCTCCATCTATATACAAGGAGATGCAGAAGATGTTATTCACTATGTTTTTTCCTAAGCATGCTGTATTCATTGACAAGGAATGCTTTCATAAACACTTTGAGGTGTCAGGTAAGTTCACAAGGGCATAATCAAACAACAAAAGATAATTCTTCAACTAGCTTTCATGGGACAAATAAGTGCATTTGTTTGGCTCCATAGGGAGAGGGAACAGGAAGAAAAAGGAGTGGGAATGAGGATGTGGAGCTGATGGGAGGGCCAACAGGTAATATATTTCCATGGAATCCCCAGTTTTTGGTGAAATCTATGAAACTCATAAAATATGTAGAATGAATGATCTTTTTACGGAGGGTAGTGAAGGAAAGAATTCTGCATCTCAAAGGACACACAGGGTAGAAATGGGTAGAAATTTCCTTAGTCTCCCCGGTGATCAGATTTTTGGCAGAAGGAAACACCTTTGAAGCTGGTGGGTATGTGACATGTATGATTAATCTTGAGGGTATGATTATGTGTACATGGAAATGTGTGCCTACCTGTATAGACAAATGTGCACAAATGCCTACCTATAAGTTGATGTGATTAATCTACACATACACATACATACATGTGCATTGCACACATTTGTATTAAATGCATATATATAGATACAGTGTGTATACATATATGTATATGTGAGCTTGCATAAGGATGTGAATATGTGTGTATTGTGTGGATGTCTTTTTATACATGAGGGGTCATATGTTTTGTTCATATGTGTGTGTTTGTGTATGTATTCATCACTTCACACCCCACATCTTGGGAGATCTCCCCTTGAGTAAGAAGAAGGCTGAGAATAAAATCACAGTGGCTGTCTGGCAGCCTAAAGTCCAGACGTCCCCACCTTCAATTGTGGAGCAAGATCTCCTATTGACTCAAGAGGTGAAACGATCAGCTCTCACCTCATCCTCCATCCCCTGTGTGTGTGAGTCCCGGCTTGTTCCCCTCTCAGAGAAGGTGCTGGAAAGAGTGAGGGAAAGTCCCCAGGAGGCCAGGAAGACTGAGGAATGGCCTATATGGGGTGAAAAGGCAATTTGCAGGAATGCCCAAGTGGGAAAGCAACTCTAAACAGCACATTCTCTTAATAAACAAGAAATTAAGTCTTAATAATGCAGTAAGAAGCCCATTAACCCCTCTTGATCTAAGGTTTGCTTCTGCCAGTTTTCTGTCCTGAGGGAACTGGGCTTATTTCACCTTCTCTTTCACAGCCCCTCGGACAGCCATAGCTGACACTCGGAATGCTTATTTCCTCTGCCTCATGGCTCTAATTCTTGGCATGCTTACTTATTTAACCATTTACCTTTCCACCTGTCTATCTATCTGTCTACTCATTCAATCATCTATCCACCCATCCATCTATCCATCCATTTATCCATCAAATGGTAACTGAACAACCACTCTTCATCAGACCCTAGAATAAACCTTGGGACATTAGAAAGATGGATTGGATAAAGTCCTTTTCCACCTCCCCACAGCCCACTGCCCCGGAAATTCAAAGTCTATTTGGACATTAAGCAATTTTAAAGCCAACCTCTATTGAGTCTGCTTTGGGGTCCAAAGGAGAGACCAGGCATGTGGTGCATTGGAGAAAAGGGGGTTTGTGAGAGAGCACACAGTTAGAGTCATTAATCTAGTTCAGGTAAGGAACAAGGGGTTGAGAGAAGGCTTCTCAGAGGAGGTGATGTCTTAGGTGATATCTGAGAGATCAGTAGGAGTTAGCCAGTAGAAAAACATAAAAGTGGAGTCTCAACAATGTGAGAAAATGAGGCACACGTGTACAGGGTAGAGCAAACTCAGAGAGCAGCAAGGGATGCAGTGGGAGGGGCCAGGTCACCCGCTCCTGTCCCTTATCTACAGGGACACAGGCACCTCTACCTTGACTCTTCCCCTGGTGTATCGACATGATATCCTGTGACTCTGTGTCTCCACACCAGCACTGGCCAGTAGTGTGAGCCCCAGATGCCATTTTAAATTTTCTTAGAAAGGAAAAGGGAGTAATCAATTTGACAACATATCTTATTTAACATAATATATCCAAAATGTTATCATTTCAACATGTAATCAATACAGCAAGCTATTAATGAGAGATTTTGTATTTTTTACACTAAATCTTAGAACTCTGGTATGTGGTTTATACTTATAGCACGTCTCAGTGTCTTGTTCATTTGTCACCCCCATGCCTGTCCAAATGCTCGGCACACAAGCAACGTTTGGTGTCTGCTGAGCTAAACTGAGTGGGCAGGCTGGAGAATGGCAGAAGGGAGGTGTCACTTCTCTCTGGGGGGAGGGTGTGGTCGGAGGGAGCTCACCAGGGACATGATGCCCCAGCAGGTTCTCGAGAGTGTATAGGAACATCCATCATGCCAGGGAGGTAGGGGGTGCGTAGTAAGAGGAAGTGACATTAGAATTAAGCCTAGAAAGCTGGATAGAATTTTTTAAAAACAGACATTTAGGTAAGGGACAGAATGGAATTCCTTCTGATAGTAAATTGTGTTTTCTCTCCAACTCAGAAAGTCATCAGCATTCTAAAGACATCTCGATTGTCCTAGATAACAGGCTTTGGTTCTCAGAAAGCACCCATCGTTTTTGTTCTCTAAATATCCTTTTGTACTGAATTGACTAGCTGTAAGGATAAATATCATACAATTGATAATTTGCAATAATCAAATAATGTCAGCTAACACTTCCCACAGTGCTCAGTAGGTGCCAGGCAGGGTTCAAGTACTTTATGTGATTGATAAATCTAAAGCCATGGCAACCCTATGAGTTAAGTGCAGTCAGTATCCCCATTTCACACATGAAGAAACTGAGGCATAGAGAGGTTAACACAGATAACACAGGTCAAAGTGGTCTAGCTCAGGGTCTGTGCCTGTAACTACTACTCCAGGCATTTTCTGAGTGCTACAATGAACCAGACAATGTGCTGAAGACTTTACAAGTATTAACTAATTTATTCTTTTTGGTAATTCAGTGGATTAGGGGCTCGTTTGCTCTTAATTTTGCTAATGAATAAACTGAGGAACACAGAAGTTAAGAAATTGCTCTCATTCACAAGGTTGGCACTGAGTAGAGCCAGGAGTACGACCATCAGGTCTATGCGGTGGGAATTTCTTCAGCTTCGTTTCTGCAGTTCCGGTGAAACGTTTCATTACTCAAAGTAAAAGTCATCTTAGCTTAGTAGTTTTAGTAATCTATGTATGCATTTCTAAAAAAAAAAAAAAAGAACATCGTGGAGGAAAATCAATAACTTTGTATATTTATATCTATATCTATATAACCACATCTATCATTTTTCTGTTCCTCTGTCCCAATATCTACCTGTTTATCTGTCTATTCATCCATCCATCCATCCAGAAATGAGTAGGGGGAGGAGAAGAAGGAAGGGAGGAAGAAATGTAGGAAGAGCAGAGCAGAGAGTAGGGTAGAGGAAACGGAGAAACTGAATGATGATGAGGAAACAGAGGAGGAGGAGAAATGAATGAGAAGGGAGTATCTACGCCAAAGTCCTCATTTTATAGACGTGGCTGAACTTTCTCAGAAGAGGGGAAGTGGGTTGTGTTGTCAGATGATGCTAGTGAGAAAGAAGCATGAAGTGGGTTAGCAGGGATTGGACTCTGCTGCTGACGGTTTTTTAATGACCCTCGTCCTGGTGGAGCTCCGTGTTTATAGCCACCTCCGGATAGTCTCTTTTTCATTTGATTTTCAGAAGCAGAAGGAAATCTGTGCAAAATTAGTTGGAGGAGGCGCAAGCCTGCTTTCAGCGTCCCCACGGCCCTGCCTCCCACACCAGGCTTTCTAATCACCGTTTCTTTCCCACGCAGGGGAGGAGGCTTTGACCATGTATATGGACAAAAGCCGCCTGGACAGGAAGTCAGGGAACGCCACCCAAAGTGTGGAAGCTCTGCACCAGCTCGCATCGTCCTACTTTGTCGACCGCGATGGCACCATGAGGAGGCTGCATGAGATCCAGATATCAACTGGAGCCATCAAGGTACAGCTCGGGGGCGGATTTGGGTGGCAGGCTCTCAGTTCGGTTCTGCACTGCAGTACAGACCTCCTGGCTTCATACCCGTGTAGCTCACAGTGCCCTCTGCCCACTGCTCTGATTGATGTTGCCATGTGCCCGGTGACATCACCAGCACTGGTATTACGATGGCCATAGGTACTGACTTACTGGAGCGCCCTGGCCACAGTCGTGGCCAAATTATCAGCGGTCCTCTCATTCACTCTTACATTGGTCCTGTAAGGTTGATTTATCACACCCCCTTTCTGTGTGAAAAAAACTGAGGCTACAAAGGGGTAAATGATTTCCTTGAGGTCTCAGGGCTAGCAAGAGTCAGATTACAGATTCCCAGCTCAGCAATAGTTTAAACACTTGTGTTTTTTTATTCCTTCCTCCTCACCTCCCATTTTACAGATGGGAAAACTGAGGCCTCACATTTAAAGCCTTTTTTTTTCAGGGTTACACAGTTAGAGAATACCTTAACAGGGACTAGAACTCTGCTCTCTAGACCAAAGGTCAGCAATTGTTTTCTGTAAAGGGCCAGATGATTAATATTTTGCAGGCTTTACGGCCTGTGCTGCTACCACTCAATTCTGCTGTTGTAGCCTAAAAGCAGCCACAGTCAATATAAAAACAAACGGGCATGGCTGTGTTCCAGTAAAACTTTATTTACCAAAGCAGGCACTCTGGCGTTTGCTGATCCATGCTTGCCTGCACAAGCATGGCTCAATAGAACCTGCCACGATGATGGAAATGCCCTACATCTGTGCTGGTCAAGACAGTAGCCACTAGTCACGTGGGGTCATTGAACACTTGAAAGGTGGCTACCGGGGAGCTAAATTTGTAACTTTATTTAATTTCGGTTAATTTAAAGTTAAATAGTCCCGTGGAATAAAGGAGCTCTGAACTTTTCAATTCAATGCCTCAGAGCACAGGAACTTTGAAAAGATTCCATTTTAAGTGCAATAAATTGAGAGACTACCCCTAGAAAGGAAAAACGGGGGAGGACATTCTTGATAGAAAAGGTTCCTTCTTCTGAGGGTTTCAGCGCTGATTTCTCCATCTCGAATTTTCTAAAATCAGAGTGTGCCTGCATTTTCCTTCTCCGTCGTCACCCTGATTTCTTCTGAATAAAAGGCAGACTTAGCCTTGTTTTAGGACGTTCTAAGACATCTGCAGGGCAGAGGGGGCCGGGGGTAACACCGGGAGAGACTCAGAGAGATGAGTCAGAAATTGACCAAGGAGAGGGAAGAGTATGGGAGGGAGAGGGTTACTGAGGAAGGAAGCGGTAAGGAGAGGAAATGAATCAAATCGACAAACAAAGGGCCAGTTTATCCAAGGAGAATCGCCGATATTGGGGGGGATTATGTTGTTAGGGAACTCAGCGCAGAGAGATGGATCTTTATGAAGCCATCGGAGGCGGAGTGCCGCAAAGGCCTGGTTTTCATTATTGCCAAATGGTTCTCTCCTCCCTGGACGGGATGCGGAATTGAGATATTGAAGGTCTGTCAGAAGATAATCCTCTTTTGTGCATCCTGGAAGTGCAGTCTGCCTCTGCAGGAGGAATTTCTCAAAGAAATTGCACAGAGGCCACTCAAGAAACTGTTCTCACGGTAGGCACTGTCTTCCGCGCTCGATTCGGCCCCAGGGCTTTTCCCGCCATTCGTGCCACTACGTCAAGACCCAGCCGGCTGGACCTTGTCTCACTACTGGATTTGTTAGAGGGCAGCCACCGACCCAGGCGGAGCTTTGCTCATTTCCCCTCGCCCCCGCTGTGGGTACCTGTAGTAAAATAAATGGGTAGTTTATTTCTCACTCCATAATAACTGTGTTATTATTCTGTACATAAAAATAAATTATTTGTAAAATAAAACCAAACCTAATTATGATCCATGTATTTACTGTGCCCTAAGTGCTAAACACTTAAAAAATTTGACCTGTTTACCTGTTGAGGTGGCCGAGAACATTACGAACATTTTATAGCTGGGGAAGTTGAGGCTTAGAAAGGGAAAGTTGCTGCTCCAAGGTTTCAGAGCTGGAAAAGGACAGAGAAGGTAGGTGCGGCTGTTTCTCAGGTCATCATTCCCTACAACGGATTCTACGCATGTATAGCTGGGTGCAAACCTCAAAACAACCCTTAATAATGGGAGCCAAAGGCTAAAGAAGTGAAGGGGCTTCTTTTCATACGAAACCATTCTAATTTCAAGGTTATTTTTTGAATAACTGTTCCCCTATTATCCACCTCCCCAGGTCTTCTAAGACAGTGTTATAGAGATACGCAGCCGTAGCATTGGGGTGTTGTCTCTTGTGGTGGTACTGATCACATTTGCCGCTGAAACTTCTTTTGGAAAATGGGGATAATTTCATTGTTCTTGTCTAACAATAGTGCATATGTACTCATTACAATTTATAGAGATGTTTTGCTCATTGTTGAACACATGCCATGTGCTGGGTATTTAGAACCATCCTATCTGGTCTCTCACAACCTCCCTGGAAGAGATTTACTAGCTCTGGTTTGCAGAAGCTTAGAGAAGTTAAATGACTTCTTTAGGTCACACAGTAAATAAATGGCCTGGCCCAGATTTAACACTGACTTTCCTTGTTCGAAAGCCCCTGCTTTTGAAATTTACTGCCTCAACTGATTAGTTCACACATTACTTACAGCAACCTTGTGAAATGAGAACCGGGGGTAGAACCCAGGCATGCAGTCTGGGTGCTTGGCCACCGTGCTAGGTGCTAGTCTACTCAGTGACAGCTGGGCGTGGTCCAAGACACAGAACAGGTGCACAGGAAGCGGCCATTGACTTGGGCCAGAAGACTTTTTCTGCTGGCTTTGCTCTGCTGGGGGTTTTCTGGGTCTGTCCTAGACAAGGGCACCTGTCTCACACTAGTCTCATTCGATGTCCCCTCCAGGTCACAGAGACACGCACTGGGCCTCTGGGCTGTAACAGCTACGACAATCTGGACTCTGTGAGTTCCGTCCTTCTGCAGAGCACAGAGAGCAAACTGCACCTTCAAGGTAGGAAGCCTGTGGAAAAGGTGGGGCCAGAGTCAGGGGAAGCAGCACGGATACGATGTAGGGAGGAGAGGATCCGGAGGGATGGTATAAAAAGAGAATGAGTAAGATGAAGCATAGAAAAACCTGTGAAAAATACAAATATGGAAATACAACCGTTAGGATATGGCATATATATATATATATATATATATATATACACACACACACACACACATATATATATAATTTTAACATATACAGGACATTAAAATCATGAGCATTCATTCGTTTTCAGATAGAAAGTAAGGAAATATGAGCTTTATCTGATTATTCTGAAGAAAATGTCTAAACGGTATTATTTATAGATGCCTCAGACCTAATATATATTAAAGTTTCATATCAGATCATCTGAATTTTCTGCATTATTGCTTTGGATTTTCAATTTGTTTTGGCAGGTGTTATTTAAATCCCCCCCAAATATAGGACATTTTACAGAATTTTTGATTCTCTGTAATTTTTCTTCGCCCTTATTTGCTAATCATTCATAGTCTTAAAGATACACACACACACACACACACACACACACTTTTGCAGAGATTACAAATGGCAGTGCTCAATGCTGGCTGGGGCGTAGAGAGAAAGATATCCTCCGACATGTCTAGTGAGAATGCAACCATCATAGGGATTAATTTGTTGGTATTTGTAAATATTTGCATTTGTTTGATGTCTGCTATATGTCAAGTTCATGTTAGATACTCCATACGTACAGCTGGGCCATTAACTTAAAGAAAATGTACCATATAAAATAGTAATTTCACTCTTATTAATTCACATCATAAAGAGGAGAGGAGATTGCAGGGTGAAAATTGGCAAGGCTTTAGGTATATATATATTACTCTTCTAAAAAATATAATTTATAACATCAAAAATGTTAACATCTCAATTTCCCACGTGAGAAAACTAAGCGAATTATGTTGCATCTGTACAACATAGTGTTAAGCTGGTAATGAAATGTTTATAAAGAAGTTCCAAGAATATGTGAAAATGATTTGATACGTTAATTAATAAATGAAAATTTTCTGATCAAATGTATGGCACTATCTTAGCAATATAAAAAGATGAGTCAAACTAATACAGCAAGGAAATATGCCAAGATGTTCAAAAAGCTTACCCCTCGATGGTTAGGTTGTAGATGATTTATTTTAGGCTTCTAGTTTCTTTTCTAACTTTTCTATAATGATCATGTATTAACTTTATGGTCAGAAAAAAAATGACATGCTTTAACTCTGAGCAGACTAAAAATGTGACTTCTAGAAAGGTATATGGTGAAGGTGATTCTGAATGTCAGTAGGAGGAAGTCGGGCTGAGATTGGCAGGTAGAGCTAAGCAGGGCCTAATATGACTTTTATATTCTGGTTTCTTGGCAACTCTTTGATTCATGCTCCTGTTATAGAAGGTGATTAGGAAATGGTGCACAGAGGGCTTGATAGTGTCACTTGGGAGCAGTCAAGGAAAATCCTTCAGGGAAATTCAGGACAAGAAAGTGGTTTACTGTTAAAAGAAAATACAATGCACCAAAGTCTCAAATACAAGGAGAATAACCCTACCCCCTTTAGGAGAGAAAAGAGTAGATAGAAGGGTTTGCTAATGCCTGTTAAGAAAGTAGATAAAAAAGACAGATCTTCCTTGGGTGCATCAGGACTTCCAGTGTCTGAGTTCATGGAATACCTAGAGCAACCCTGTGAATTGAGAGCCAGGATTAAAATCCAGGCAGTTGGCACCAGTCTGTGCTTGATTACCCTGTTGTGCATGTTGAGGGTGGAAAGACTTGCGATCTATAATTGGAGCATACTTAGAAGGAATTAATGAGATGTTACTACCAAGGAACGTAGTGAGATCTTAGGGTCATTCAGAGGCCAATTTACCCTGAAACCAATGAAGCTTGAGGTCCAGGGATCCAGCACCTTCCAAGTCCCCACCTTTTCTCATTCTAAAGATACATTCACTTTCATGTCTAATTGTGAATTCCTTTCCTCAAAAAACAACTTTTATCTGGTGATGTGATAGTTTCACAGGTATACACACATGCCAATCTCATCAGATTACACATTTCAAATATTACAGTTCATTTTATGTTCATCACACATCAATAAATCTGTTAAAAATTTAAACGACTGGAACAAATTGTATTCAAATGATTAAAAAAAAAAAACAAAAAAACTACTGTATAAGACTTCTGTTCTCCCAAGCCCAGATATGCTATTGGTTATATTACTAGAAGTATGCTTATTCACAAAAAGGAGGTGGTAGACCTGTCCTTCTCTAGAAGGGTCAGAGCACACCTGGAGGATTGGGTCTATGCCTGAGCATCACACTGCAAGAGGGACATTGAGAAAGTGCAGTTTGCCTGGAGGAGTGAGTCCTGTGATAGTGAAATAAGGACTTATGATAAGGTTATCATAAGTCCTGTGATAGTGAAATAAGCTAGAAGGACTTGTCTTCAGATACCTAAAAGGCTGTCTTCCAAGAAGAGAATCAATTTCATTAATATGGATAAAATGGGCCAAGCTCAATCTAGTAAAAGGGAGAAAATTACAAAGATCTCAGCTTTTAACTAAGTATAAAGTAGCTGCATCTAATGAACATTTATGCCCAAGCCTGGAATGACCTGCTGAAGGGTGTAGTGATTCCCTGCTATCAGAGAATAATAAGTAGGTGATGTTTGGTAGAAAAGTTATAGAGAAGACTATTTAAGCACCATTCATTTATGTTGGGTGATCAAAGTAGGTGATTTTAAGTTCTTCCCAACAATGATTCTAGGATTTTATGAAAATGACGAATCATTAAATCTTTTATTGAGACTAACTACATGGCAAAGCCAACACTAGACCCTGGGCACATAAGCACAAATCAGTTCAATTCAATAAACATTTTTTTTTAAGAACACATGTTGATAATGAGCTGGGCAAAAAAAAAATAAAGTAGTGAAGAAGGCAGGCATGATTTTTTCCTCAAAGAAATATATACTCTATTGGAGAAGATGAGCATGAAATGAACAATAAGTGTAATGAATTTTAGTGAAGAAAATAATGAGGGTTAGGTGGTATCAGATAGTATGCGGTCTTAACCTACTGGGAAGTTGGGAAAGTTTTCTGTAAATAAGATACATAGGATGAGACCTGAAGGATAAATAGGAGGGCAGGGCCTTGGTTACAGAGGCAGACAGAAGAATCTTTATCAAGGGGCATTTGAGGAAATGAAAAAAAGTCTTATGAGATTAAAGCAGAGACATCAATGGTGAGAAAGACAAGTTAATCCTTCAAATCCTAGATGGCCTCTGTAGAACATTAATGAGTTGAACATTAATTTGAGAGCAATAGATATCCTAGAAATGTTTTTTTTAAAGGGAGAGGCATGAAGAGGATGATATTTTGGAAGATCACTGTGGCTCTTGTGTGGGCAATTAATTAAAGAGGGGTGAATTGAAGATTGGTGACAGTTGCAGGCTACTGCAGAATTCAAGTTGAAATGTCCCAGATTCAGACCATGGAGTACCAGCGGGGGTAGAAAGAAATAGACCAATTCCACAGTTACTTATGAGGCATTGTGACCAGGATTTTAGATAATTGAGTGAATGGGGTGAAAAGAGCATGAAGAATTTAGATAATTGAGTGAATGGGGTTTGAATATAAGACAGAAAGGATAGGCAGGCAAATACCTATGCTTCAAGGTAACACATAACTTAATAGAGATAGTAAAAGTAATACATAGCATTATGGGGATGCAGGAAAGGGAGTGATTCATTCTCTATGTTCAGGTGGGGGAGTCATAGGCACAAGCAAAAGATATCTCTGGAAGAATAATGTTCTCCTGGTGAAAGGTAAAACAAATGAGCTTCCTAAATATAAGACAGCAAAATATCTCATGACTTTGAGGTCGATATTTATTCAGTAGGATGCAAAAAGCACTAAGTATATAAAGAAGATTTGTAAATTGGACTACATTAAAATTTAGCTATATCAAGATATACTATTAATAGAATAAAAATGCAGGCCACAGAGTGGAGGAAAATATTTGTAATGCATGTGCTTGACAGAGAACTCCTATGTAGAATATATATATGAAAATATATATATATATTTAAATTCTAAAATTGATAAGAAAAAGGTAATCTATTAAGAAAAGAAAGTGGATAAAAGACAGAAAGAGGCACTTCACAAATAAGAGTACCAAAATGGCAAATAAACATTTAAAAAAGTGCTCAACTTTTCCAGTCTGCAGAAAAATGTAAATTAAAGCCACAATTTAATGTCTTACCGTAGCAATCAGCATGGTTCAAATGAAAAAGACTGTCAATATCAAGGAGCGACAATCTGAGGCAGTTGGAACTTACGTGCATCCTTATGGGAGCACAAATTAGTATCATCGCTTTGGAGAACTCTCAGCAGTATCTACAAAAGACTGCCTATGCCCTGGCTCCATGATCTATCAGTTCTAATTCCTAGGGATATGCCCAACAGAATTGTGCCCTAGGTTCATCAAAACACATGAATGTTCACAGCAGCTTTCTTCAAAATAACCCTAAGCTGGAAACAACCCATATGTCCATCAATAAGAAAATTGGTAAATATAACACATTATTATGCATTCATATGATAAGCTACCATACAGAGATGAGAAATAATATCTACTGTTTTATGCAACATTATGGAAGAATCTCACAAACATAACACTGAGTGAGAGAAGCCAGACACCAGATAGTACATGCCATATGATTCCATTCCTAGACAGGTCAAAAACAGTAAACACAAATACATATTTTTAGAAGTCCAGAGAGCATTAATCTTTGGGGAGAGAAATGGGTCAGTGACTGAAGGGAGATGAAAGAGATTTCTGGTGATATTGTTCTGTTTCTTAATCCGGGTGGTAGCACATGGGTATGTTTGCTTTGTGAAAATGTATAGAGCTGTGAAGCCATTATTTGTATGTATGCATTTCTGTATATACAACATGCAACTATT